TGGATAAACATCATCAAATAAACCCCTCGCCCCCCAAAAAAAATTGATTGTGATGGGAGAAAGTTTTAAGTTTCTGAAAACAATAACTATAAGTGCATCCCAAAATTATACAAAAACATCAGTTTATTTTAAATAAATAAATGAAAAAATTTATAAATCTAGGTATTTACCACAGTTGTATCTGCGCGTTGGATTTCATTGCGTAATCTATAGTGAAAAAAACTTTAAAATTATTTCATGGCATATTTTGTGTTGGGTTCGGGATATTCAAAAACGTTTTGAAGTCGGAACTCTTATGGAATTGAAAATACTTAAAACTAAATTAAAGGCGCTAAACCTAAAGTTTAGCTAGCGAGCAAAACTTTGGAATCCAGTCTTGGCGGTTTTGGAGAGAAACGCTAAAACATGCTTTGTTTTGGGTTCCGCAGACAAATGCGTATTTGCAGTTGGAAAAAAATGGAACAAAATGTCGCTTGATTTCACTGGTTTTCAGGAGATTTCGCAATCAATTTGCTGTTTTTTTTGCTAGATTCCACAGTTTGTCAGTTGATTCTGGATGTCAGTTTTCTTGGATTGCTCACTGGATTGCTCAAGCAATTGTTTAGCTGTTTGATCATGTATCGAAACTGTTTTTTTTAACCTGATTTTCGTAGGTTATGTAGTGAACTGATTTCAGTTTGCGTGACAAAATATTTTACCAAACAAGACAAATAAGCATCTTTCAACCGCAAACCCTTCCAATTTAATTATCTTCCCACGCATACCCCACCTTTTTCTCATTATAAATTGCACAAGAAAGTCTCATCATTTTACCCCTTTTACCTCTCCCTCCTCAGGTCTTAAGACAATTGTCTTAAATGTTGGGGCGTCAGGGTTGACGTGAGGAGACTTGTCCCAATAATTAATTAACCGAGCAGCAAAAAACTTCTGTTCAACTTATTTTTTTGGAATCCAATAGCTAACCGAATAACCCAAGGAGCATAATTTACAAACAGGTCTCCAATGAATGTTTTAGAAAAAGCTTTTGATGCCAAACTGAAATTATGCCAAAATTCAGCACATGCTGTATTCAACTTTGCAGAAACGGCAAAAATTGAGTCAAAAACTTGAAAATGCAAATATGTGAGAATAAAAAAGAGATTGAAGTTTAACTGTCGCAAAAGTATCTTTAAACTTTCAAACTTTCAGAGACAATACTCCCCGCACTAATTTTAACGGTTATAATCATCTATGTTTTTGCGAAATTTATTACTCAGGATTCCAAACAACAACCTTTGTTTTTAGAGCGCGCCATCTAACCTCTAGAACCAATGTCCTAAATACTGTAGTACCACTAAACCTATAGACATCCATCAGGCTGGAGATGGTAATCGAAAAGCTAATAATGTTCTCGGAAATAGTCACTTCGAGTTGCCGAAACATTGACAATCTGCCAATTGGGGCCATAATCACGTTTTTCTGCTATGGTTGAATAAGTTTTTCCAGTGAATGGGAATTTCATTGAGTAAACTTCACATCCTTGCTCAAAGATCTTTCGTGTACAGTACTGCATAACTGGTCAAACCTTTTTGTCTCTGGAGCGAGTTGCCGTCACACTGAGCCAGCTTCTATTTGGGAGAAGAATCCTACCTCGAGACAAACAAATCTTGGTCTAAGGCCCATAGTGTCACTGCTTGCGGCTGAGGGTTCGATTCAACAAAAGCAATATTTTGCCAAGATTACCTGCAAAATGTTAGTTGTGATATGCGCATATGTTATCAACATATTCTGAACGAGTAACCCATAGTAAACTGTACTACCGCTTAATACGATTATTTTTTGATGATGAGAAGTTAGCGTTACGAATGAAAAACCAGTAATTGGTGGATTTCTATTACCATCACCTATTACAAAAGTTTTGAATTGAGTTACTGCGGGTTTACACTGGGATATTAGTGACAAACATTATTGAGTAAAAGCGGCAGATTTTTCTCTCAGCTGCTAAACACAGTAAATTGCAGAAATTTTTATTTTCCACAGGTCAAATTTGCAGATGTCTGCGGTACGTTGGCGTGAGGGATGAGTCCAGAGCGTTGACTGGAGATGGCCGGCAAAATTTCAGCAGCACGAGCTGATGTTGATATGTCGTATCAAAGCGGCAGGATGTGGTGCAGTGAAAGTACAACATTCCAGAGCATTGGAACTGGATCAACTGGATTGAAAAATATTGGAGTGTAGTTTTCGTAAAGTGCAGCATCGTTTGAAGTAGACAATGAGTGAGTTTTGTGCTCAGAGTTAATGAAAGAATCAATTTGAACAAGAATGGTTTGTTTATTTTGAAATAAAATAGCTGCAGCAAAAACTTTTGAAACTCAGTATCTCGAAGAGACTGAAACAGATCAGCATCTCAAGCTATCCTCGTCAAAATTCTGAAAAAACAAACGATTGGGTTTATTACGCATTAGAAAAAAGAACCCATTAGCTCCAGTTTTTCCGAAGTTTGTCGGAGGCATGAACTCACATGATGGTACCAAACAAAACAAAAATATTTCTATAGAAAGAAATTCCCTCGGTAATCATCACCCAAACAGACTCCTGGTCATTGCCAGCCTGGTCACTTCTATCAACGAACCGTTTCGTTCAGCAATTCCAATGGAATCACGCCGGCAACATCCACTAATATGAGCACGAAACCCAGTCGTTGCCTATCCCAAACAATGTTACACTTTACGAGAACTACATACTGAAAGTTTTTAATCAAGTTGTACCAGCATCTAGAAAAGCTGCGGTATGTTGTGCTTTCTCTGCGACCGAACCGAGATGGTAACTTAATGTAAAACTTGTATAATAGGTGATGGGAACCGATCATTTAGTGTTTTTCATCCGTAACGCTAACATCTCAGCATCAAGTTCCACCAGTTTCAAATTGTAGTACAGATTGAATATTTCAAAAAAACCTTTCGTTTGTAAATAAAATTCTTTTTAAAAAATAGTTTTTCAATTGTTTTTTCCATTATTTTTGATTTTAATCTGATGATGTTGTCCGTTGTCGACGGCCTACTGTTGTTCGAGTCTGCAATTAGCTTCAATTAGTTTTTTCAGTTTCTTTTGTTTCATCTTTGCTAGAAGCAGATTATTGCGGCGCTCACGGGGGCTCATCGACTTCACTGAACAGTGCTTACTGAACTGGCAAACTTTTTCGATGTTTGTCCGGTTATTTGGCTGAAATCACCATTTTGTCATTTTTTTGCTTTTCCGGGAATGGTTTTGAATGATCCAATTATTGCTTTGTTCGCCTAATTGGCCATTCTATGTATTCAGTTATGCGTCTTTTTTAATGAGAACTACGGAAAAATTTAAGCTCGCAAAACTACAATTCATCACCTGTCGATTTTTTATCTCATTTGTTTCTACCAAATTTATAATTCTATAATCGCTCCATTCTAATCAATTGCTCAGATTGACAGAAGAAAAAGTATATTAAAGGAGACCTTAAATTTAGTGTAATCAAAGTATATTATGCTTCAACAGTATCACACTTTTGAGAATTACGTGACTAACTCGTAGTTGCTGCTCAGCTAGTTTTCTGTTTCAAAAAACTTGCCGTTGGCGCTTTCGTGAATTAAGGGTTTTTTTCCAACAAAAATTGTTTTTCTGCAGTTTGCTGAGAATGTTTGATATGCTGATTAACCTAATTCATTGTAGTTCTTTTTAAATATTTTCCCTCATACCAGTCTGAGTTATTTTGCTGAGTAAATACCCAATAAATTACTTCCGAAAATTTATGATGGCTCGAATACATTTGAAAATGAGGATAATTTTTCAGGCAAACTATTTGAATGCTGAAACTTTGAGCGTTTCAGAACAGACTAGATTTGAAATGTTTGACTTTATTTTTTCAATTTCAGGCCTTAAAAAATAGCCAGCAGACAATTGGAAAAAAGTCAATGAACGCAAAGAAAACAGAAAACAACTGACCTGTTTTTAGAAAAAATTCAAAGAAAAAATTAAAGGATTTGAACCTCTTCAAAATTCAAAATACTTTTTTCATTGGCACATTGTTAAAAAATTATCTCAAAATGATAAGACTGGGTCATTAGGTATGTTTTTTTTCCGATGTGAACTCTTGAAATTAAATTCGGCTGTCAAATTTTGAATTAAATCAATTTTTTTTTGACCTCTACATAGTGTTTAATTGTGATGCTGCCTTTTTTCAACAAAGGAAATGAACTGTACTTCAAAAAAAAGTGAAAATCAAACCGCGAAAAAATAATTTGATAACACATTTTAAACACATTTTGAAAACACATTTTTGCGTTTGCACTACACGTTTATTGACTCCTAAAAATCATCGAATCATTTCAATTGGGATATTATAGCTTTAAAACATCTGCAAAAGTCTCTGAGGCAGGCAATTCAACATTCAATATTTGAAAAATGTAAAAAAAGGTTTTCGTAGCTTGAATTAGTTGGCATAAAAACTTAACTTTGCGGCTAACTGGCTTTTTCAAGCATATCATTCAACTTTTTCAAAATCAATTAAATCCACCAAAACCGCATTCAATCCATCCATTCAATCCATTTTCAGTCAGATTTTTAAGCGAAAAGGCGCAAAATGTTTGAGTTTATTTTCAAAGCCTTACTAGCAAAAATTTTGAAGCATTCATTAAAGCAAAACAGTTCGTTTGGAAACGTTTCAAAGCGAGTTTTTGAACAAAAAAAACAATAACGTAAAAATGGTGTCATATTGGTCAAAAAAGTACTGTCTAGCTCTGAAGTTGATTCAAGCTGATTCTCGCTAAAGAGGTTGCTGTCCACAAAACACTCTTGGATAATCTACAATTTCAATTTAAAATATTGAGATTTTCTAGAACTTTCTTCATTCGCTTAGCGCTTCGATCGATAGTCTATCTGAACCATTGTGCCCTATCAAAGCTAAATCATGGCAATTTTTTTCGTTATTCATTTAATTGTTAGCTTAAATATGTTTCACTTTTTTAAACATGTTCATGGTTCGGACTCAATTGTTCAGCTTGAAAAACAATTAGTAGAGATTGATTAGAAGTTTACGATTGTTCAAATGTTAACTTTCATTGCAAAGAATAATTTAATAATTAGTTCAAGGCTCATCTGTTATTGAGGTTGTAATTTGTCGCATTGGCTAATCTTCAGTTTGTTGATGCATGATGTGACGAAAAAGTTGTATTAAGACAGCAGAAAAATGTGAATAAAAATCATCAGGTCTGGTCATGATCGGTGTCTTCCATAACCGATTGGTCTTCGGCTGTAAAACGGAACTCATCGGGCTCACTCTGGTTCTCCTGTTTCATCCTCGCATTTTTCTGGCTAAGTCGTAGATTTCGCCTCTCAGCAGCTGTTCTTGCGGGACGTTGCCGGGGAGGAACTGAGAGTCCACTAGGCTGAGTGTTCTCGGGACCACCTGCTCCGCCTGCAGCTCCTTGGGACATCTGTGCTGCGCGTAGTGATTCGGGCATTATTTTATCAACTGTATTGCTTCTGGCTGGTCTGGAACTCTGAAAGGTGAATTATCGAAGAAGGAGTTAGATTTTTTTGCTCAGTAGTTCAAGCAGAGAAAGGAAGAAGCTGATGGAAAACACACTCAGAACGAATGTCTGATAAATAGCTGTATAGACGTATGTCGAGTCTCAAAAACAACCCTGAATCGTTCACTTCAGCATCCAATAAGCCGGATAAGGTTTTTTGAATGAAGCCACTTACAGCCAGTATGTTTTTGGCAGCTTCTCGCGACGAAACTGGTGTGTTTCCTTGTTGACCATCGCTGGACGATCTTCCACGAGCCCCTATTGCAAAGTTTCTGGACCTGGATAAGTCACTTGGCTTGAACTGTCTGCCGATCAATTCAGATGCAGCCAGATGAAGAGGCATTGGTCTCAATCCAGGGTTGGCATGTGGTTCCTCCTCTTCCGGCTGCTCGTGATGAGATGACTCCACATGTTTCGTAGAGTAGGGGTCAAAACTTACGCTCGGAGTTTTGTTTTGCACACTTTCCTCACGGTTCTGACCTGGATTTGTATAAAATCCTCCAAACAAATCTTGACTTTGGTTAAATCCCGAATGGTAAAAAAAAATTTATGATTCAGGACTACTGTATCACTTTTTAAATGAAAAACCACTTGAAAACTGGAAAAACCACTTGAAGTGTAAAAAAACTCAGAAACCGGAAAACATGCTTTTCTTAAAACATTTTTCAGCTCTTTTGGATT